TTCTGTGTGTGCATTTGTACATGAATTTATTTCCCTGTTCGCAGTGAGACAGCATCTGGCAGCTGTGATGTAAAGGCACCAATCTTCTACACTCACACAGGAACTTTTGAAAAGAAGCTCTTACAGTTGCAAAAGTTTGAAGAACAACAAAGTTTTCCATCCTTACGCAGAAAAGTGACCAAGAAACAACTGACAGCTTCAGTACAGTATTATATAAGCATAAACATTTGCAAAGTTTAAAGAACAAAGACTACAAAGCACTTACTGAAGAACAGCATTTCAATAGGAGGATTTTTAGAATTGCTTACATGATTTTAAAAAGAGAAAAGGGATGAAGGGGCTTCATTTCGCAAAGGAGTTTATGGCTCTGTGACACAACTGCAACCATCATTTTCTGCAGCGCTGAGCAGAGTACTGTGACAGCACTTTCCACTACAGAGTTCTGTTTCTGCCCCAAAAATAATCCCTAGAGTTTGCTTTCTTGCTTTGAAGGTCAGACCTTTCTCTAGCTGGTTTCTCATGCCAGGGATCCTCTCGTTTGAGAAGATGCTCCTTTTGGTTGGCTCTCTTTGGGCTCAGCTGTCTCCAGACTCAGAAGCTCTGTCTGCAGTGTATTTGCGACCTGCAGTCTCTTTGCAGGTGCTCTGCGCAGCACCACATCACCAACACCAACACCGACGACCGCCGTTCTAGGAGAACGATAAAAGGAAGAAGAATTGGGGAGCCGCAGCCTAGGACAGCACCAGGGAGGTGAGGCACAGCAGCCTGTGCCCAAGCAAGTGACACTGACTGACGCGTTCGTTATCTGTGCCTCGCTGAGAGGGAACTGAGATGGGTTCAGTGATGGATTTCCTCGACAGACTCAACATTCTGCTTAGCAAACAGATCATTTGCCATCATCCCAAGTGTAAAAGTCATTTTTAGTGCCTCTCGATCTGTAACAGCAAAGGCAAGTCTGCAGTAATCCAGAATTAGATCTCAAGTTGTTGCTGGTTCTCTCCAGCAGCCTCTGTGATGGGCTGTGCATTAAGGACGGCTCCTCGCACCCTTCCAGCAATGGTGCCCCTTGCTCAGCTCTGCTCTTCCTCGCTTGAGCAGAAAACTGCTCCACTGGGAATGTCACCTCTCAGGGACCAAAGGGCAAGAAAGGTAAATGAGCGTGGGGTGGGAAACAGAGAGAAGACAGAGCTCCGGAGCCGGGCTGGAAAGAGGACAGGGAGCCCCGGGCAGGACAAGCGTGACTTGGGGACGCTGGTGAAGATGAGGGAGGATGCAGAGCGAGGGGGAGGATGATAACACCTGAGGGCTGTAAGTGGGGAGCAGAGGGCCAGATGGGGCTCCCGGCAGGGGCAGGGGTTGGCAGTGATGATGGTTCCCATCACGCTCTCCCTGATTGAATGCTAAAGGCACCAGCCGTGGCTCCACTTGGGAAGAGGCAGCCAACAGTCAGGCTCCATTACGGGGGGCTCAGTCCTCGCAAGGGTGCTTTCATCTGGCTGTGATCAAAGCCTTCAAACCCGGAGGAGCCGAAGCCACACAGAGACCTCGCATCTCCAGGTCAGCTGTGGTGATAACTCCTTGGCAGCGACGCCGTCCCATTGCTGAGGTTTGCACCATTAACACGCTCCCAGGGACACTTGCCTGCTGAGCACAGGCTGTTCTCACTGCTGCTGGCTCACCACCCCAGTTTCGGTATCTGACAGCCTAGGACAGACCATCAGTCCCTGCAGATGTAGACTTCTCCTTCCCCAGGAGAGCCAAACACACAGCCTGTGACTTGGGTTTCCTTGCAAGCCTCAAACCACTCTTCAGACGATCTCAGGCGCCGTCTGGAGACCTGCTGCAGGACCGCCATCTCCTGGGCACCCGGGACACCGGGTGTGCAGCAGCCCCAGAGAACCACCCCGGGTAACTCCGAGGCTGCGGCAATG